CCAGTTTGTTTGTTCCCTGATATTTAGTATGTACTCTGTAGTTCTGCTTTGTACTGAACCCTGAAATTGGCTCATGTGCTTTCAAGAAGTTAACATACTCCCTCCGTTCGAAAAAAAACTTGTCCTGAGCTTGTCTCTCAAATGGATGTATCTAGCACTAACTTGATGCTAGATATATCCATTTGAGGGACAAGCTTTTTTCGGACAGAGGGGGTATTTGTTTTGTGCACTATATGCCCTTTGTTAGAAATATCAAATATTTTGTTCCTCATGTTATTTTCATGCCGATGCTTGGGTTATGAGGTTGCGGATTGACTTGGGATATGTTGAGATTTTTTTTTTCATCTTAGTTTTATTTTGTTCGTGATTTGATTCGTTACTAAAAGGGTAGTGTGCGCTTTGTTGTGCCGTTCGTGTTGTTGGGTTTCTTAAAAAAATCACTATTACAAAATATAAGGTGTATTAATTTTTTGAAAACCCAAACCTTTTAAGTTTGATCAAATTTCTAGAGAAATATATCAAAATCCATAATATCAAATCGGTACTTTTAGATTCATCACGAAATGAACTTCCATACTTTTTGTTTAATATTGTGAATGTCGATATTTTTGCTCTAAACTTGGTCAAAGTTAGAAAATTGACTTTCTAAACAACTAATACCCCTTATATTTTATAACTGATGGAATAATTTGTTTGGCGGGTGGGGAAGATGATAGAGTGTGTTTTATTTTTATTTATAATACGGTGATTTGGTGGACCTTTCGTGGTGTGATTATGTGTTATCGCTAACCAACCTATATTTATGTGGGGAAATTTTCGTGTCGGTGGTTGCATGTACTATATTGATGCTACGATATCACATGGTGGCACTTCTTTTTTCTACGTGGTGGGAGGGTGCGCCAGATTGATATGTTTTTATAGGTTGGTTGCGCTTGATTAATTTGAAAAATAAATGGCCCAGTCAAAATCTTACACCAAATCAAAATTGAATACCTTAATTGAATGAAAGAGCTTGAAAATTTGGGAACATAGTGAATTAAAATAATTGAATGGGGAGCTTGAGTAATTTTTGACCCAGTCAAAATTGGACCCAATTCTAAATTGAATACCTCAATTAATTGTGAGGCCTTAAAAATTAGAAAGCATGGTGTGTAGTATAAAAGAATTGAATGATGGAGCTTTGAGAAATTGTTGACTCGGTTAAAATCGGGTGACCCAATCCTATTTGCTATTGCCTGGTAGTCAAATAAATGGAGATGGGCTTCGTTGATGTCAAAGAACAATTCCACAAAGTACATTAGTGTAATGGTTAGAGAGGGGCATAGGCATCTTATGTTTTATCTTGAGCATCTAGATAATATTAGTGGAGTATGGGATGATGTTGTGGAAAATCATGCGACACACGTGTTGTTATGAGTCCTATGAAGTGCATAAAAAATAAGGAGCAGAATAGTGGTGCATATTAGAGCATATATAGGTCCACACCATAGCATAATGGCATGCCGTTTTGCATATGTAGAAGGGACTAGCAAAGTCATAAGTAGAAGCTGAGCAAGTGTGGATCTTGTTCAAGATGATTTAGAGGAGGGGAATGATGAGGACTTCTCTGTCTCTAACTATGAGATAGAATAGTGGATAGTGATTGTGACTTGGAGGAAGGTAATGATTATTTAGTGAATAAAAATAGTCAAATGGGTGAGAGAAGAAAGGCAAAGGAAAAGGAAAGCACCTTAAGGGGCATGACAATTATTTTAAAGATTAAAGACTTGAGATTTCAGATTCAGGCGATGAAGATACAAAATTAAATACCAAATATTTAACAGATGCAACTATGAATGAACGCAAGTTCCATGTGGGCCAAGTCTTCTCATCTATTGACCAGCTGAGAAAATCAATCAAGGAGTAAAATTGATAGTAGAGGTTAAATATCACATTTCCCTACAATGACAAAATAAGGATTGGAGTTAAGTGTGATGTTGGATGCCCCAGGTACTTGTATGCATATTACAACAATCGTACAATCATTTATGATCAAGATATTCGAAGATGAGCACACTTACAGGTTACAGCAAGAAGTGGCAAGCTATAGTTTTTACCGCGAGATACATAGCTCATAAGTATGTTGAGAAGCAGAGAGCAAATGATAAGATGAAATTGAAGGGTTTTGGAGAACTAGTGCAGACAAATTGGAACATGAAAATCAAGGGGGCGAAGCTTGGCAAAGCAACAAAAATTGCATTCAAGGTAATATACAGATATGAAATAGCACAGTACAATCTGTTAAGGGACCAAGAACATGAGTTGAGGAGATCCAACCCAGGTAGTACTTTTTTCTTGAACTTGCCGATGGTGGAGAGTTCCAGAAATGTTATTTCCATTTGATGCATGCAAGAAGTGTTCTCTTTCTGCTTGTAGGCTTATTATCTGCTTCAGTTGTTGCCATTTAAAAATTCAATTTAACGTTGAGCAAAAAATCATTATAGATACTTTGTGTATTTTAGATTTTTTTTTCTATTTACTGTATTCATAATTGTTCCTTTTTGTTTGCTAATATATGCATAACTATCACTAGAATAAATAGCCAAGCATTCGAGAAACCTCTTCACTTACTCTCTGTGATAGTATTTAAGAATACTAAAATAAACCAGAGCACGTGCGTACATTTGCATTCAACTAATAGCCAAATTGTTCTATCATGTCATGTGTTTTGATTTCTTAAGTGTAATAAAGAACAAATTGATTCCAAATATTTTTAAATGTCATGTCTCCAAAAAAATTAAAACAAACATCGCATACATTGCAATATATATGCCTTAAAATAGTGTGATTGTACTTTGTACCATCAGTGTTAATATTATAGCAATAAAATCATTGGATTTTAATATTTAACTTCATTATCATGTATTTAATTTTGTTTAGTGTAACACTAAAAAATCAATATCTTGTGATAGAGACTAACATAACTATAAGGAAGTACAAAAAATTAGTATAAATAAATGAAAATTATGGAAGGGTGGTATGATGGAGTCAATTAAGTAATTGTAAACTCCGAATAGAAAATTTGTATAATCTTTTTGAATGACAATAAGATTATACTTCTTCAAAATAGACAATAATGTATACTCATAAAGAAAAATAAGTACACAATAAGGAGGCACCGAAAGAGCAGTGTGATAGGTATTTCTCAGACAAGGCGACGAGTGCGGCGCAGAAGGTGGGTTCATCTGCGTCAATAGACAATGTTGATGCATAGAAGAGTCAAACAACATAATATATCCCCCTGCATCTCGGAAGCACGCAGCATGGAGACAACGACATCGAAGTATTTCGACACCACTTCCCAAAGGTTTTTGAAGGTCGCACCGAAGAAGAAGTTTGTTCTTTCTTATCATGCTTCTACTTGCTACATCTGTAGGGTTGCATCATCATACCTTACGGTGATCATCAGATCTGAAGGCTGACTCAAGCTGGTTGTTGATGATGCAGATAAGATCTGAGTCATCATCGATGGAGGCGCCACTAGAGTTGGTTGACAGGTAATCATCAGACAGGGCGACGAGGGCGGCGCGGAAAGCAGCTTCAGCTGCACCAATGGTTGACGCCGACGCGCGGAAATGGAAAAGCGCAGAATCACCCGGCATCTCAGAGGCACGCAGCATGGAAGCGGTGGCGTCGAGGTAGCTCGACCCCGCTTCCCGGAGGTTGTTGGAGGTCGCGTCGCGGAGCATGCTCGATGCCCGCAGCACAGACAACGAACCCTCGATCAGGTCAGACGTAGCGGCGCGGACGTTGAGGTTGATTCCTCCCGGGAGGCGCCTGAGACGGAGGCGCGGGCGAGCGCCGGCGCGGCCAGGTCGTAGAAGTACTGCGCGGCGTGAATCTCGGCCTCGGCAGCGCCGATCGCTGGGGTGGCGCGGTCGAAGACGTCGGACCACGCGCGGCGTCCAGAGAGGCGGCGGTGTTGATGATGGTGGAGGAGGGCGCGGAGGCATGTCGGGCGTCGGAGATGAGCCCCATGGCTCCTCGGCGAGCCGCGGCGAAGAGGGACATGGCGGTGGGAGGCGGCGTCGGCGGAGGGGAGGGCTAGGGTTTCGACTCGCGGGAGCGGAAGGGGAGGGGATCGAGGAAAGGGAAGAGAAATGAAAGGAGGCCCACGCGCCAGACCAGACAGTTATGCTGGTTCCTATGTAGAATATAGAATAATTAGCTTAGTTTATTACTTGAATCAAGTAAGTTGCGGCCTTGTGGCTATGATCGCTGTACTACGCCTCTCCATCCCGCGCTCGATCCCCATGCTCGCTTCTTATCCGTTCCTAAATTTTTTGCAAACAGAATCTCCTTTTTTCATTCCCCAGCGAATTCATTTCGATCTCACTATTCAAAGCAACACAAAACTAGTATTTCCACGGGCCAGCTCAAGACCAACACAAAAACTCTGTATTGTTCCATCATCACAAAATGCGCAGCTCCAGATCACAGAGCTTTGAGTTGGAACGCGACCGGATTTTTTGCCCTCATGCTAACGAAACACACATAATTTAATTTTTTTGCTACATCAAATCATCCACCGAATTCATTTCAATTTCACAAATTAAAAGCAACACAAATACACAATCTATCTCTTCTTTTCTTTTTCCCACAACAACACCATCCAGCTTAAACTGACCAGGGGAGCAAACTCTGTTCCATCATCTAACAACAGTCATTACCGGATATATTTAAGCATAAAAGTGGAAGTAACACAGCTTGTATTAAGCTTAGGAACTTAGGAAGTCTTGTTTCATTGCTAGTAACCACCTTTCTACAGGATTTTCACCGGCCAGCTCCAAAACACAAATGGAACTCACCCTGCCTAGCTGCTGATTCAGGACTACAAATACACTTCAAACTACTGGTTTCACGGGGTTCTCAGTTCTTACTGCTCTTGCTACGCGTGATAGAAGGCTACGCTACCAAAATTTGCTGTCGAGTCACGCGGCAAGCCCATCTGTTCAACCTCACTACTGGACCAAACCCTTGAGCTTGGTCATCCACCGCACGTACTCCTTGGTCTGCTTGGTGATCATGTAATCGTGCATGAAGTTGGTGGTCGTCAGTGTCACCCCTCGTACCTCCAGGAACTTGAACAGGCCCTTCTGCACATTCGGAGGAAGCTCGCTGCAGTAGGGAGAAAAGAGTGAAAAGTGATCAGCAATGGGCAGTCATAATATGCCATGGTGCGAAAAAGAGCTTGGATGTGAAGCAGTATTCTTACGTGAACTCAGGGCCCTCAAACGGGAATTTCTCTGCATCAGACTCTGTTTTCTCCGCTATCATCATGTCGTCAATGGTGATCTCCTCGTGGAAGGCTGTGCAGGTGAACTCGAGGTTCAGGCCAGATCCCTTGGAGACTATCACCTTCATAGAAAGGCTACTTTCTTGGCCGTCCTCATCTTCATCTTCATCGTCCTTGGCAGCATCCTCATCATCGCCCTCGTCATCTTCATCAAACTCAGGATCCCCTTCCACGTTAGGCATGCTGACAATGACCTCAATCTTCTCATCCTTGTAGTCCCTTTTCAGAATAACCACGCTCATCCCATCTTCATCAACCATTTCAAAGGGGAAGTCTTCTGGAGTAGGTTCCTGTCAAAAGAATAACAAATGAATTGAGATAAACAGCCTAAATATTTTGCAAGACCAAGAACTGATGTTAATCTAGCATGTGAATTGTATGCCTACACCTTGCAAAAAGTAGCATCTATACAATCGTTTCAGGATTTTCGGGCAAAACTAATGAATCTAAATGTCAGTTTTCGTATTGCTGTCCCACCATGTAATTGAAATTTGAAACCAAACCCTCAAAACTCAACCACCAGACTCACTCATTCAAATCCATGCTCTGTAAAATCACAAGAATGATCAGTGAACTGATATCAGCTTAATGGTCACAGCTGCTCAGAGAAACAGCAGCCCAAATATTCAGACTCGTTTTTAGCACAATACCGTCAGAAGCAACATAAAACCAAGCTCAACTGTAATATGTAAGCGGATGGTTACGCACCTTACATGCTGGCAGGTTTCATTGATGAATATGCATAAGAATCAACATGAAACCGAGCTAAATCATAGGACATATGTGCCATGCATGCAAAGAAGCACTGGCAGTCTGACTAACTGTGACATGCATACTTAATCATATCTACTGTGCATGGCAAATAAGCAATAAAGATGAAACTCTCGATAGTGGCAATGCAGTGGTGAATTAGCAATGTACGGTTCTACTGAACAATTACTAGCAAACGCCTTCATCCAGTCATCCAGGCAAGGTATCACCGTATCACCACAATTCGAAGAAAATATCAGCAGAAAAGGGCTCCCCGGTAACAAATCTCCCTCTCATTCAGGCAGGTAAATGCCAGACAGACCAATATTCAGTAGAAACCTAAATATCCGCAACGCCAAAACCTGGCGTTAAGTAGCTAGCAAGTACAATTTTATGGCCAAATGTTTCACCTTGCAGAAAGTAGTATCAACCACAGTCAATTCAGGCTTTTCAAACAATAGCTGATGATCCTAAATGTCGGTTCGAATATTGCTCTCATACTAAGCCAAAGTAGTTCAAAATTTGAAACAAAAGCCAATTCCACTCATTTAAATACATACTCCATACAATCATCAGAAAGATCAGCAAACCGACACCAGCTGAATGGTCGCATCTGCTCAGAGAAATAGCAGTTCAAATATTCAGACCTGTTTCTAGCACAACACTATAAACCAAGCTAAAAATCCACGACAGGATGATTGCCCACCTTATTACATGCTGGCATGCTTAACTGAATGTACGTTAGAACACAGGAAAGCGAGCCAAATTACGGTGGATACCAAAAGAAGCACCATCATGATTAATTGACCATCAGACATCAGTAATTCACTCTTGCAGATGGGCAGCTCCTGGTATACCGTCAATGTGGTAGCAAATTGGCAACGCATGGTCCATTCCTACCGAACAACTACCGGTAAACACGCAAGGTGCCACCGTAACTCCAAACAAAATTCCAGTACAAGCGTTCTCTCCTACCCCATGAAAAAATCCCTCTCTAAGTCCGGCAAGGATTCCTCGACCGCGCAGCAAAAAATCGACCGTACAACGCGGCCGCTTAAAGCAGGGACCGTCCCGTGTCAGTGTCTCGCACTCAGACACTCTCCCTCACCTGCCCGTCGGTGGCGAGGTACTGCTCGGCCTCCCGGATCTCGAGGTCGATGGCGGCGGGGAGGCCCCCGGCGCCGGCGCCCTTCTTGTTCCTCTTCTTGACCTTGCTCTCCATCATGACCGGCGCGGAGTTGGCCGACCCCTGCGCCGCAGCCGCGCGCAGAGGAGCCGCGAGCGCGCGCCGGGCCGGGGCCGCCCACGCCACCACGAGCCCGCCGCGGGAGGCGGACGGGACGGAGCGGAGAAGGACTGCGGCGGTGGAGGAGGCGGAGGCGGAGACGAAAGAGGCCATGGCGGAGTGGGAGGGGGGAGAAGGGAATTGGGGAGGGGATAAGGCGAGGAGGGGTTTTGGGTTTGGATTAAGAGGGTGGTTGGATACATTTTAGTCCCATGATTAAATGTAGTGGGACTAAAACTTGCTAGTCTTATCCATGCTTGGATCCAAATACTAAAGAGACTAAAATCAAGTTATTGATCATTTATTATCCTTCAAACCCTTCAATCCAGAATTCGCATGTGTTAAAGGAGAGGAATTAAATGAAGAAAGAAAGGGCTAATACATATTTTAGTAGGTTTCCTATGACTAAAAAGTTTTAGTCTCAAGACTAGTCCTAGCCTCTCTTTAGTCAGGGGTGCTTGGAACTTTAGCCTCTAAAAGAGACTATTTTTAGTCAGACTAAAAATAGTCCCTTACATCCAAGCACCCTCTAAGACGAGGAGGCGAGACAACGGTGCGCCGCCGTTGGGTGTGTGTGTGGCCCGCACGCCAGTGACAGCAGAAGTTCTGTTTTTCCTTTTAACCCTTTTTCGTAAGGGTAAAGTGCACAATAGGTCTTTGAATTATTTCAATAGTGTCACATAGATCCGCAAAGTATGAAAATTGTCATTCAAGTCCTCAAAGTACAGTAAATGTGTCATGCTAGGCAAAGTCTAGGTCCTCGAACCATTTTCATATTGAACTGATTCTGGACATGGATGAAACATTTATTGCATTTTTAAGAATTTAGATGATGATTTGTATAGTTCGAGGACGTACATAACACCCTTGGAATAGTTCAGGGACCTACAATACACTTCGCACTTTTCCTAATATAAAATGCTTATAGCTGGATAAGTATCGGCCTACGTTGAGTGAGCACGCAAAGGCAGCAGGAGGTGGCCAGTGGTTGCATGTAAAAACAGGAGGGCAGGTGTACACGACACGAGACATGTGAAATTTTGAAGCCTACATGGGAGAAAAGATAAGCACGATGACAATATCATCAAGATAAGGAGACAGCCTGAGACGGAAAAAAGACACCACGCAAAGTGACGACGCTCGTACGCTGCACCACCAAGCGAGTGTTAGGGTTTCTATTGCCTCCTGTCACCGTCGTCGTTAGTCTACCTCATCTCCTGCGGTCTTAAGATCACAGAGGTGCGGTGGATATAAGTCCTTGTAGGCAGGAAGGTTCCGTCCTTTAATATATATTTTTAGTTTTATTAGGGTTTGTGTCTTGCTCTATGTAGATGGAATAAGATCCTCCCCGCCTAGCCGTCGTTCCGGTGTTGTCTTTAGCATCATCGAACGGTGTGTGAACGTTTGTCTCTGGCCGATCTCATGGATTCGGTCGGTGTTTGTCTTCCTTCGCCTGTGTTCATGTGTCTACATGTTGGAATTTTTTGATCTACACTTCTCTTCATCGGTGACGATTGCTGTTCTGGTACGCTGGTCCTATAGCATGCTTGTTTCCCCCCTAAAAAATAAAATAAAATACAGAAAAATAAAACTTATGTCTTGTCAATGAAACCAACACAGAGAATGGACTGTGAATCGAAAAAAATGGAATTCGAATCGGCCGAACGGTTGAGCTGGAAAACATCATTTTTGTTCTCCAGATCATAATTTTATCCCGATGATATTTTTTTTGCTAGGAAAACTTTTGATCTATTCATCAACTATCAAGGCAGTACAAAGAACATCAAAAGTAAAAAGTACATCTAGGTACGCAGACACACCTAGCGATGACTACAAGCACTAGAGCGAGCCGAAGGTGCGCAACCGTCATCGTCCCTTCCTTGTCGGGACCGGGTAGACCTTGTTGTAGTAGACAGTTCGGAAGTCGTCGTGCCAGGACTGTTACCAACGAAAAGAACAATGTTTCACAGTTTATTCATTTTTCTAGCATAATCATTTTTCTGATTCACACAATTTATTTTACGGTTGTGAAGGCAATGCCCCTAGATAAAGCTCCGGGTCCGGATGACTTCATCAAACGTTTTTATGCTTCCTGTTGGCATATAATCAATGAGGACCTCCTGAGAGCTATGGATGCGTTCTATCGCAGGGATACGAGGGGTCGGTTTGCATGCAATAAACAAGGCAATTGCCACATTACTTCCCAAGATGGATGGCGCAATTGATCTAAAGGATTTCAGGCCATGAGCCTAGTGCACAAAGCCATCAATTTTTTTGACAAGGTCCTCGGATAGACTAGCGGAAGATTTACCAAAACTCGTGGGAGTGCACCACAGCACATTTGTGAGAGGAAGACTGCTACATGACAACTTCATGCTTGTCCAAGTTACGGCACGCTAGTTGCATGCCCTCAAAGAACCTTCAGTCATGCTCAAGTTGGACATAACCAAAGTGTTCAATTCGGTACAATGGCCGTTGAGGTGTTGAGGAAGTTGGGATTCGGTGCAAAGTGGCTAGCATGGATATATGGACTACTGGGAACTACCTCCATAAGGATATTGGTAAATGGAGTGTCAGGAAAGCACAGGGCTACGCCAAGGCGATCCAATATTGCCAATGCTATTCATAATGGTCATAGAGCCGCTACAAAGGATGTTCGAGCTTGAGACAACCCGAGGTCTCCTATCTCCACTTGAGAGGAGAGGAATGAAGCAAAGGGTATCTATGTGGCAGATGACGTTATATTTTTCATCGAGCCACATGATATTGAGTTGCGGACTTGCTCAAGAATATTGCACCTTTTCGGAGAATCTTCGAGTCTCAAGGTAAACTTGCTGAAGAGCGCGTCCATTTTGATAAGCTGCTCCAATGTGGATATGGAAGCGGTGAGTACAACGCTGGGATGCCCGACAGGATCCTTCCCTTGCGCAAATATCTAGGGCTACCGCTCACACTCCGGAAGCAATCAGCATCACAGTTCCAAGGACTTGTGGACCAGCTAGCTACTCATCTGCCCACCTGGCGGGCAGCCTCACTACCGAAAGAGAGTGGTCGCCTCCTCGTGGTACAATTGGTCCTTTGTGCAATCTCAATAAACGCAATGATCGCTCTAGACATCCCGCTAAAGACAATTGCGGCAATGATGAAGATCTACAGGGGCTTCTTATGGTGCGGCAAGGCACAACACTAGTAGAAAACAGGGCTATGGTCCAGGCCGGGTCAGCCCATTAGTCCCGGTTCAGTCAGAACCGGGACCAATATGGGCATTGGTCCCGGTTCGTGAGCCCAGGGGGCCGGCCGGGCCACGTGGGCCATTGGTCCAGGTTCATCTGGACCTTTTGGTCCCGGTTTGTGGGATGAACCGGGACCAATGGGCCTCGCTCCTGGCCCAGCACCATTGGTCCCGGTTGGTGGCTTGAACCGGGACCAAAGGCTCCCCTTTAGTCCCGGCTCATGTCACCAACCGGGACCAATGAGGTGCCTATATATACCCCCTCGCGCAAGAGCAGAGCACAGTGCTCTGTTTTTTCTGGCCGAGGGGGAGAGGGCTTTGTGGTGCTCTAGCTCACCTCCTAAGCACATGAGGTGTTCGATGGAATGCCCGAGCCACACTAGTTAAGCTTTCTCCTCTCGAAGCTCGACCTCCAAGCTCCATTTTCCTCGAGATTTGTCTAGATTTAGCGGTCCGTCACGCCCCGTCCCCGTCTTCACCGCCGTCGATCACCCGCGCCGATCTCATCACCGACACCACCGTGGTGAGCCTCTTGTTCTTATCTTCTTTCTGAAAGGAAAAACATTCTTACTTGTATGTTTAGATAGATACTTGTATCATTTTCTTACATTTATTATTGCATCTTATATAGTGCGATGGTTTTGGTATCCGCCCCCGTCGGCCCTTGTCCTGTCTATGATTCGGATGTGGTATGTATATTATCTTTATAACTATTGGTTCATTTATTGTTTATGAAAATTATGCCGACCAACGTGACATAGATTTTATTTATCTAGGATGTATGTGAATCGGAAATGCCAACCGACCCTATTGTCGAGAGGTTAAATTTAGTTGAAGAAGAAAACAATTTGTTGAAGGAAAAAATAAAAAAAAATTGAGGAGGAGAAGATGATATTGGAGTTGCATGTTGCGGATGTCGTCGATGATCACAAGATCAAGATGGATGCAATGCGCTTGAAGATTAGAAAGATTAGAAAATATGCCATTCATACCGAGGCTTGGTATCATTATGCCGTTGGATCAATTGTTACCTTGGTTGCGATTATGATCGCATTTGTTTTCGCATTGAAATGTTTTACATAGTTTCAATGTATGGTTTAATTAATTAGATGCTCTGGAGAGCTATATGTTGTTAGATGAGAACTATGTATGCACTTTAGTTTTAATGTAATGATGAACTTCTATTAATTTGGACACTTAATTATATATAATGCACGCAGATGAACCGGCAATGGATGTACGGTGACAGACACACCCGCGAGTACATTAAGGGCGTGCATGAGTTTCTCGATGCGGCTAAGGCAAACAAGCAGAATGGTTTTATGTGTTGTCCATGCACTGAATGTGGGAATACGAGGTCTTACTCTAACCAGAAAATCCTTCACTCCCACCTACTTTACAAGGGTTTCATGCCACACTATAATGTTTGGACGAGGCACGGAGAAATAGGGGTTATGATGGAAGACGGCGAAGAAGAAGAGTACGATGACAACTATGTGCCCCCTGAATACGGTGATGCTGCAACGGGGGGAGCTGGTGAAGATCAAGAGGAACCAGACGATGTGCCCAATGATGCTGCAACGGGTGAAGCTGCTGAAGATCAAGAGGAACCAGACGATGTGCCCGATGATGATGATCTCCGCCGGGTCATTGTCGATGCAAGGACGCAATGCATTAGTAAAAAGGAGAAGCTGAAGTTCGATCGCATGTTAGAGGATCACAAAAAAGGGTTATACCCCAATTGCGAAGATGGCAACACAAAGCTCGGTACCGTACTGGAATTGCTGCAGTGGAAGGCAGAGAATGCTGTGGCTGACAAAGGATTTGAGAAGCTACTGAAAATATTGAAGAAGAAGCTTCCAAAGGATAACGGATTGCCTGA